CGGCTTGACTGACACGTGTATTTTTTTTAACAAGGGTTGACAGTGTAGCACTGATACACACCTCTGTGTTGCCTCTTATAGCTTGTCAACTCTGCTGATCTTAAAAAAATATATATTTATTAACCTCAAATAAATATTTCACGTGCCCAGTTGCCAGAAAAAAATTCCTACCAGGACCTCTCAGTAATAAATAAGATGTTTGGCATTATGCAGCCATATCAAAGCTGCTTCAGACAAAGAGAAAGTCTGCATGCATAAACCATTTGAAGAAAGGGAAAACTAGTTTGAAACCTTTTTTGAATGCAGTCTTTCACAAATGCTCTAATTTCTTTAAAGATTTATTTAATTTTTTTTTACCTGTAATTCTATGGCATGTTTAATAGAATCCTAATCCAAATAAAGAGATGCAGATGAAGGGCTGGGTGTTTGACCAAGAAGTATTTTTTTAGGTTTACTCTTCTTGCACAGCAAAGCTTTTGTCTTGAGAGATTCAGTGAAAGAGCTGCTAAGGGGTAAAATGATTTTTAAATTGACTGTGGGACAAATGTCCAACTTTAATGATGCATCCAGCAAAAAATGGCTCAAAGGAAAATTCTTTCGACTATTTGCTTTTCCTTACTTTTTAATAATTGTTTGTGTGCTACAAGAAAGGTTTGACTGACACCACCTACATATATTTTACATTTTCCTCAAGTAAAAAGATGCAGATTGATGATGGCTGGAAAATAAACGCAAAATTAAACATAGTGGAACATAGATCAAAAAGGCATTACATTATGACCACCTATCTAGTAGTGTCTGGTTTGCATCTAAAACTGTTCTCAACTATTAAAGCATGAACTCTAACAGAGACCTGAAAAAGTGTTGCAATATCTCACTAAGAATTTTTAAATCGATTCTTTAAGTCCTGAAGGTTTTAGAGCAGCCCTGTTTAAGTCTTTGGATCAACACAACCAACAAATCATAAACTGAAGTAAGATCTGAGTAAATTAGAGGTAAAGACAACCCTGCAAACTGGGTTTCAGGAGCTGTGTTGCTCCTGAAACCCTTAAACCCTTGCAAAGAATTTTTACTATTCTGCTGCGTGTGGGTTCCTGGCAGATTTTTGGTCTTTTTTAGTTTGTTCGCCATCCTGCCACTGGTTTAGGAAATTCTTTGGAAAACTTGGGTTTGTTTTGTTTTGTTTTTATGGGGGGGGGGGGTTGTTTTTTTTTTACTTCCAGATGTAATCTGAATGACAACATGTTTTAAGTTTTTCAATGGATCTGGGCCTTAGATAATCATTTGCAGAAAGATCCTTGTTCTGGTCCCAGGCTGATGATTATCTCCCCTTAGTGATCTGGAACACTTCTATTGGATGAACTAGTTTACAGCTTTTCTTTATCGACAGCTGTTTTTGCTACTTGTAGTATGTATCTTGTGTGTTAGAATTCATGCATTTGCAGCAGGTTTGAGTTTGCATGACTTTTCTACTGTGTCGCTTTCTATCTTCTGTGAATATAACAATTATTCTTTGCAACATTTTTTCTTTTAATTAGTTTTTTAAGTTTGTGTTTCAGGATGTTTTGAATTTGTTGTAAAGCTATGTATTTACAGGATGTTTGCACCCCTCACCTACTTAAAAGATATCATGGGGAATTTATTTTCCAAATGAACCACTTAAAAATAAAATAGATGTATATTTGGTAATGTGTTACAACACAACAAAACATATTTTACAAGTTATTCTGAAAAAAACATCTGCAGTACTCTTTTAAAAACATTTCCTCTTATAAGTTGTATAAGTTATAAGTTCTAACTTCATCCATGCAATTAATGTCTATACTTTTCTCATTTTCTTTATCATCCTTCATTTATTTCTGAATGATAACCCAACTTTATTACCATAACATGTTAAAAAAAAAAACTAAAACTATCTTAAAATCAACAGTGAATAATAAAAAAAAAACAAACTCAAATTTTTAATTATTTGGACAATTCAAAGACACATTTAAAGCATAGACCAGGGCTCCCCAATTCCAGTTCTTGATTTCCAGTGTCCTCCATGCCTGAATCAAAAGGCTGAATCACCTCCTCTGCATGGATTCAGTTCAGGGTCCTGATGAAAACTTGATTTCTTTCTATAATCTTCTCGTTGCTGTAAACACCAGAATTTCCCCATTGCGGGACAATACAGGGATTTTGTATTCTATTCTGTTCTATTATTAGACTCAGACATGTTAAAGCAGAGACACATATAAAGATTTGACCATGAGCACCTCTGAATATGCTTTTTTAGTGCAAATGCAAAGTTTAGCCCAGAGTCTGTGGATCTATCTGACACAGAGAGTCAGAAGATTACATTGCTCTGTACTTTGTTGCATCAGAATGTCCAAATGTCAACAGTTGTTATTTAATCTATTTAATCCATCTGCAAACATTACACCGTCATCATGTTCAAGGCATTGTCTTAGAAGATGCACGCTGATTGGACAAAACTGGTGGCTATTTTTTTTTCATCTGTAGGTAATATGATCAAGCCTCCCTTGCAACTTCCTGAAAACTCCTTTATTGAAATTTCCCGACTGAACCACTGAAGCATTTTAAAAGGCATGTTCCATCATAGTCTGATAGTCAATGACACAGCAATTATTTCCAAAATAAACCACTAGAGCCACACGGTGCAGAGAGTTTCTATAAATTCCACCATGTGTAATTAAACTTATGAATTTTTGAAGATTTAAAAGGGAAAGTGAACAAAAACCATGAATAATTCACAATTTTATTGAGACAAAAAAAGAAACATAATGTCAGGGTAAAAGTGTGTTTGCATCAACTTCGGTACTGATGTTCATGGACCGCATCAATTTCCTGGGCATGATAAATAATGCAAGAGTGGCTGTGGTTTCTCATAAGTTTGAAAACGTAATGTGCTGTCAGACTTCTCTGGAAGCAGAGATGGATTTTTTTTTCCAACAGATAAGCAAAACTGGACCAGATTGGCTTCCATCATAGAGAGCACAATCATACAAATCAGATTGTGCTCTCTTCAGAAATAGGCTGAGCAACGACACTGCTGAAGCGGGAGAGGAACTTTCCTTAAAAATGTTTTTTAAAACAGAGCAGACTCATACCACTCAGCGAAGATAAGAAAATTGGCTTAATAAGTACATTTTTTTATGTTTTAGGGGAGCCATGCAACAAATGGTGAACCCGGTTCCCTGTAGCTCTAGCAGGATGCACCAGTCAGTTCTAGTATCAAGTCACATTTGTTGCAGAATTTTAGCACCGCTGGCTTCTAAAATATCCAATTAACCTGATTGAAAAAAGACACCGTTCTACTTTAATTTATCTGCTTTGAAATGTAGTATTGAATGACTATTAAGGCTACATGTTAGAAATTACATCATTGTATAATGACTATACCCTATAAAAACTGGCACTAATGTTACCTACTGTAGCCTACTGTAGCTACATCAGGTCCATAACAGGATTTAATATTAGAAAGAGGATAAATTTAGAAGCAGTGTGCAAATCCTCTCCAAATCTTACGGAAAATATTCTAATAATCAAATGTTTTAACATTTACAGTAAGCCCTGTGGGAAATTTAAACAGCTTTCTGTCTAAGGTGGTTTGTAAATATATATCAAATTTCTGATCATATTCTTCAACAAAATCTCCTCATGACTGAGAATATAGAGTGCACTAAACCATATCGCCATTTGCCTTTTTGCTGTTATAGAAATATTAGTGACATCCCTGCTTAATCCATTGGTGTTAGAATGATCTCAGCCCATCATTTACTGGTAAAGGAGTGCTGCTCTAGGAATACTTGTGAAAGGGTAATATAGTGTGCTTCTAGAGATGTTTGACTGTTCTTCAAGAAACTTGTATGAAGTCAGACACTAACTTATTTGTTTTGGACGTTGGTTTGTTTATTGGTGCACAGTTGCGTCAGGTATTTTGGTCTAATGAATGCTTCAGAGTTTCTTTCACCCGAACTAAGGCGTCCTATTTGCAGATTGCCTCAAGCCATGCAGGTGACACAAAAAATAGGAAAAGAAGTTCTAGGAAGATAACATGGAAAATATAATAGTATTTGCTAGGGGTGTGCATTGGCACTGCCCTCACGATTCGATTCAATTCGATTCTATGATGCATTACGATGCATCAAAATCCCATTGACTTTGTAAAATCCGAAATGTGCCCAGATATCCACTTTCCAAGCTTTTGGTGCATTTTTAATTAGGCCTACCCGTCTATCGTGGTCATCTCCCTCCGCCTCAGCCTACTTGATTGTTGTTGGTATGCCCCCGGGAAGTAATTGACACTTCACAACTTGTCCATTTGAGGCCAGAAAATAAACAGTGACATAATCGATTATGGCACGTTGCCGCATCGATGCTGAATGGTGCATGCCCCACATTGCAATGCATCGCTGAATCGATTATTGTTGACACCCATAGTATTAGCCTATATGCAAGACTGTGTTTGGGCAGTAAGTTTACAAACTAGACAAAGGTATCAGTCCTGTTGTGGCACAAGGTGGTGGTAGCATCATGCAGTGGGGATGCTTGTCTTCAGTAGGGAAGGATATGACTGCCAGAACCTATGGAAAAATGGAGGGAGCTACATAACCTCTAGGTTGATGATTTGAAACACCATGTAGACATGAGACTGTTAGTGTTAATGCGCTCTAAAACATGGACAGAAATCTAAGGCTTTAACTTGGTTCATGCATGGCTGCTCTGTTTCTAAATTGAATTTATCTATCCACCAAAATACATGGATTAAATGGTGGAATATATATATATATATATATATATATATATATATATATATATATATATATGTATATATATATATATATATATATATATATATATATATATATATATATATATATATATATATATATATATATATATATATATATATATATATATATATATTATATGTGTGTGTTTGTGTGTGTGTATACATATATCCTATCACACTGGTTAAATGAAATCAGTCAAAATGAAGCAGGATGAGAGCAGCTTTATTAGCAGTATGTAGCAGCAGGATGAGAACACTTTAATTATTTCCTTCTTTTTTCTTTCATGCAGTCTTTCTTTGTCCATCACACAAACAGAAAAACGCATCTGATAGGTTTGGTGAGGGCTGACGTGGGTTAAATGTGCAACATCAGTGTGAGAGTGAGGAATGGAGGGGGGGGCTGCATGGGGAAGCCAGGAGACAGTTGAAGAGGGAAAAACACAGAGAGAGGGTGTTTCTAACCAGATATAGTCTCTGTGGTTCTTGTAATTATCTCCTCTGCAACTTCCTGTAACTCTACTTCGGTCGCTGACTTCCAGCTATAAATAGTCCTATAATGTACTCCCTCTGCCCTGCGCCACCAACCACGACACATTTAGGAATGAAGGAGACATCACTGCAACCTCTGTCTGTTCCTTTCCTTCTTTGCCCTCCCTCCATCACCTCCCCGGTCCTCCTCTCCTCTGCACCCCCTCTTCCTCACCCTCTCTGAGTTTCACTTGGCGGATAGGGTGTAGCAGCCATGTGGGTGCCACTGCATGTCTCGGATGCGCCTAATGGACTGCATCTGAGGGTTGCGAGCGCCGTACTCATTGAAATGCTTGTAGTCACCCTTTTCCAGCAGGTACTGGCTGCCGCGGTACCCAGGGAACTGGTACCCCACCCATCTAGGGAAGGAAAGAGGAAGCATGATGTAAAGAGTTTCAGAGTTAGACGTTAAAAAGATATTCATTAACAAATAAGTTGTGTTGAAAAATGATTGAGAGATAAGGGAGAACTGTGTATAAAAGATGTTTTAAGAGACATAGGCAGATAATTCAGAGTAGATCAACATTTCTCACACTGAAAACATTGATCTATTTGTCATGCTGTCAGGCTTTCAGACACAGACAGCTCCGCTCCCCAGCTGTTTGTTTCAAATAGTTCAGACCATTGAAAACAAAGTAATCACAGCAGAGGATAAGCTTTGTTTGCAGCCACACCTCTGCGAACACAGACAGGGACACTGTGCTGCTGACGTCTACGACACCATCAGAAAGCTGCTGATGAAAAAAGTCTCTATTCCTGATAGTCCGTGATTAGAAAGCTGCTTCAGCCTGTATATGAGAATGACGTCACAGATGCGAAAACCGTCTGACACACGCAACGCCAGGCTCTGACTTTTTTTTGATGCAGTAGTTTGAAAGGCAGAGTGCAATGTTTTTTGGCAGCTCTGTTGAAATATGCATGATCTACTGACTGGAAGATGCAAATGCAGAACAGACTCTGAGATAGCGGAGCTGCAGCCTCAGACAGGCATACAAAACAGTGTGTTAAAGCATGGCTGAGATGTACTTGTTAGGCAAGTTAAATAAGATCTCAAGCCATGAAAGTGAGACTTGCAATTTGCACGTATGAATGTTCTACCTCATGCTGTGAATATCAAATTTACAGCAGATAATGCTGTGACGTCAAGACGAGGGTGACACCAACATTATCCCACTCCTGGTTATATTGTTGCCAGATTTAGCCACTTTTGATACCTCCTCAAAGTTTGAAGCAGTGTTGGTGACTTGAAGGGTATCATCTATCAAATTATCTGCCAACTTTACCTTCTCTGTAAAGAATAAAGTTTGAGACGTGTGGCCCTTTGGGTCCAGAACAGTGCCTTGGAATTAAAATGATTCAAGATCCTATAAAATGGAAAAGTTTTTACATTCACAATTTAGGAAAATACAAGTTTTCCAGAGATCAAAGCAATTTTTCTTGTTTTTTTTTAATGGAGAACCTGGAGTATGATAAAATTATTTAGTAATTGTCATCAGGTATAATAATAATATACGGTAATAATATATAATAAAGGTATTATTTTTCACATTTAAAAAAAATTAGAATCGTTCAACCAAAAAGATGCATTACAGGTATAGTGGAGGATTTTCATGAATTTTTTAAAAGACCTGCCCTCCTCGCATAAAAAAAAAAAATGCACATGCAAAACATGCACATGCACAACCCTGTACCCGCTCTGTGAGGGTACATCTATTAAATGCGTGGGAGAGCATGCACAAACCCGTTTCTCCCTGTTTAAAAGTTGCTGTTTGCAACTTCCAAAAGAAGATTCGCAATTTTTCCATTATGTCAGACTCACTACCGTTAAGTCAAAATGAGGACAAGCATGTAGGATGACCCTATCCAGACATATCACCAGAATGATTGACAATAAGGAGGACCACTTATTTTGATGATCCACTCGGAAAAAGTACATCCTCCACTATACCCTTAATCTTTTCATTGATGGCCCATTTAATTTGTTTTAAAACACAACAGAATAAATTAAACAGTGTTTCTTGAATTTAACCTTAAAACTCCTAACTAATTTAACTTTATGAGTAAAGGCAACATTGCTTTACAGAAAGAAGTCCTGAGTTTCAATGCTACCAAGAGGCCTATTGACATGCAGGTTCATGAAAATAATTGCAAGGATGGTACCCAGTTGCTCTGTTTGCATTTTACTCTCATGCACAATTTTTAATTTGTTGCTAAATTGAAAAGAAATGTAGGCATTTTTCCATCTAGTAGATAGAGGTGAATAAACCAGGCAAGACTGCAAACTGGCAGAGACCACATATTTGAGAAAAATGGGGAGAGCTTTTCTGGAATGTGTTGCTATGAGGCAATTTGTAATTTTTCTGTCTTGTCAACAAGTATTGATGATGGTATATGCTTTCTGGAGATGTAGATAAAGAAATTAATTAATTTCAATGCATATGAGTGAAATTTTCACCATATCTGAAATTATTTTGCAGACTTTTTTCCATTTCCCATTTAGGGCATTTGGTCTTTTGTAGAATAGCCAAAAAAACACACTTAGGTAAACATAAAGACGTTTTTACCAACTTGTGGAAGTTATTTTGATTTTTTTTTTTTTTTTTCCATTAAACTTTTGTGATGCTCAAAAAAAACCTGCAGGCAAAAGTTGTGTCCTTGGATTGTAAACATTGATGAACCTGTGGAATTAACAGTTCTTTATTTATTCATTTTATTTTAACCCTCCAGACAATTCTATGCTAAAGGGATATTTATTTTTGTTTTCTTTTCTTCATTAATGTAGACCTATCTCTATCTAAAAAAAACTAAATGAGCCTTTTTATCAACATAAGGACAAGTAAAGTTCAGGACTAAGATACAACTATGGAAGAGTAACCACTCGACCAAATTTTTTTCCCTGAAGGTTTTCAAGATCTACTTTAAAATTCCTCAATGAGTATCAATCTCTAACACTCAGTTTTGTAGCCAGTAAAGTTTTTATATAGTTGGTAAAGCAGGGAACAATGTGCACTGAGGATCGGCCAAAAGTGTACAAGCACCAGAATCAGTTTAATTTCAATCTACAATGTTCCAAAAAGAAAATGCACAAGCAGAACATTCCCATTTTCCAATTAAAAACAAAATAGGATTTAATAAACCCCATGCTTCAGGCTATATTTACACATCCATGCTCTCCAAATTAAAGCGTTGGTGGAGAATCTTATTTCAGCTTTAAGGTCTGAGAGTAATATTTTATCTATTGTCATTTATTATCTATGTTTCGGAAGAAGAAAAAAACAACTGTAGTTTTATTAATACTTGTCATGCATAATTTCCATATATTAATACCTGATTGTGTGGAATAATTTGTTTTTTTTATCTCTAAATACATAGAAAACTCCTAGATGACTTTAAGAGATATAATTTTCTCATTTTCACTATAGTTTTTTTAAAACTGCGTGCATTCTGTATTTATAATTTTTAATGATAGTATATTGATGGAAGTAATTAGCTATTGTATTTTAGTTGTTGATATATGAACAATTAAAATGTGATAATCGCTAAAATATTAATTTGAGAGTATTACTGCAGCTACCCTCTGTTTTAGAGAGGAGCTACTTGTGAATTATGTCTACATGGGATCTGCTAGTAGGGATGGCCACAGGGATGGCCAATAATTGACTAGCTCCACCCCTAACACTCATCAGATGCAGTGTTTATAATGGCCCTAGTAGGTAGAACCTAAGCACCTCGAATGCAAAACAACACAAACATGATCATTGGTGATCAATCCGCTTGAGCAATCACAATAATGAGCTTGTTTAGTCTTGCTAAGAGTAAATTTAACATTCTGTGAATAATCCAGAGTAAAAGAAAAGGTCTTTCTACATTTTAAATTCTAGCAGGAAAGGACCAGGTTTTATGCGAAAGAAGTTAAGAAAGCAGCTTCGCTGTCATACATTTTTTTTTTCTTCCTGGGATTCCCTAAAATAATTGCAGGTCAATTTGCTCCTTTCTCAGCGTGACGATGCAACCTTCAGAGATAGCAAGCAGCTTTTATTTGTGCCCAACTTTTTCTGTTACAATAAAAGAAAACTTTAAGGTAGAAAAAAGAACAAAGGAGGCAAATTAGCATGTTCTGCAGCCATGGAAATATAGTTTCCCTGCAAATAGCTTCCTCCTGTTTTTTAATCCTGTGACTTTATTGTAAATCCTGTACTTTGAGAATATATTAAGTATGACATCTTTTCCAGAGAGCTCAGAAAGATCCAATAGCGTTAACAAAGCGTGCAATAATTTGAAATACGTCCAACCTTTGAGTTTCTGACCTTTTGAATTAACATAGTTGAACTACACTGAAAATGAAATTCAGAAGAGCAAACACATGACAGTCAGTTAACAAATACGATGGTTTCTGTTACTATTTATACAACATAATGCATATAATATTTTAATAAACTCTTAAAAAACTTGTTTTTTTATTTTAATCTATGAACTTTTGATGATTGAAGATATGGTGGCTAGGTCCCATTAAGCCTTTTTGCAAAGACAAAGTTAAGGTACTCACGTTCCACAGCTGACCAGGATGCTTCCCACTCTGTCGGTGAAACCATAGGCACTCAGGCTGGGAACGTCATCGTCCATGATCTCCATCTTGCGACCCTTGTATTCTCCGACTTCATATAAGCAGATCTTGTGCTCCTCAGGATCCTGTAGCATGTTGGATGAACAAGACAAGAAATACATTAGGGAAAAAAAATCTAAGAGAGCAAACTTTATGCTCTACTGAGAACATAGCTGTTCTCACCATCCGCACAGGCCTGAAGGACAGAAGGTAATCGTTCCTCTGATTGTTGCTCCATGAATCCCATCGGGGGTACTCACCCTTTTCCAGGATAAACATTTCACCACAAAAGTTCATCTGCTCAAAGCCCACAAATCTAATAAAGGGGAAGAAATATCAGCAAGACATGGAAAAAAATATAAGCATCTGGTTTCTTATTATGCAGAACTCTTTGTTAGCCTCCTAGAGCAGCATATTACCCTTCATAAGAGCTCTGCTTAGCCTCTGATCCCGTTCTTCTGCCTCTTGACTCTTTTTATAGATTACTGTTGAACTATTTTGGCCTCTTGTGCTTCTTTGGAGATTCAGTGGAAATAAATGAATAATAATGCTGCTCTTACTCTCTTATTTTGTGTAGTAATTTTTATTCTACTCACACAGTAACCATTCCCCTAACATCATATACACAGAGCAAAGTTGCTGCCCAGCTCTGATCAAAGTCAGACACTAATTGAAAAGCTGAAGTTCCCACCCCTGCTGCTCTCTGCAAATAGCTGCGGATAAAAGCCTCCCCTGACTGCCTAAAATGCAAAGTGAAGAAATGTCATATAATGGAGAGGCACATCTGTGAAATCACCTGCATGTTACGCACAGGAGTGGAACTTCTGTACTTAAACGTGTGGGCATGTGGTTGTCACTGTACTTACGGCCCACATTCGACACGAAGGGAGCGCACCCTGTCCATTCCCATTTCACACACATTCATGCACTCTGCATTGATCTCAATGCAGCGGCCCTGGAAGTTCTCCTGGTCGTAGACGCACATCTGATGACACAAATAAAAAGAAATGGGTTAATGGAGAAAACTTTCTAAAAAGGTAGATATTGTTATGGAGAGCCCATTTTAATCTGAAAAACACAAAAATGTATTCTTGAGTATTTTTCAGTCGGTGGTAGCTCCTGACCACCTACTCAGGAAGCTTTAAAAAAACAGCAGGTTGAAGTTGGCAGGTGAGAGCGCAGAGGGTAAGGTGTTAGGCCAGACGCTTTACACCATTTAACAAAGACGACACGATAGAGTAGCAGGAGATGTTTGAAAATCTTCAGCAGATGTGTGGGTGTACTCTGTGCACCTTGTAGGACATCTTGTCCATTGCAGACATCTTGTTCTCAGCTGCCTTCCCATCAGGCTGGGACTTGGGTTTCTCTGCTCGAGCAGACATGACTTTAAGAACAAGAAGAAGAGGCTGTGTTTACTCTCAAAATGTAGGTTTTACCTATAAAGAGTTTATAAAGACCTTTGCCAGAAACACAGAACAACCAGAGGATTTTCTAAAAAAAACTTTTTAAAGCTTCCTTTACAAGCTGGAGAAACAAACAAGTTAAACAAGTATTTCAGTTTTTAAATGTTCTATATTAATGTTCGGCTTAATGTTAACCTTTAGAATAAAAAAATAAATAAAAATGTTCAATATGTGTTATTTAAGGGAAATGTAGTAAGATACATTTTGATTTATGTTAGCAGGGACCAATAGCTGGAAAACTGGCGAAATTCAAAAAAGGTCTGAACAGCTTTGCTGGAAAGAAAGAAAGTTATTAATCAAGGGGATTTTTTTGTAGTTTTGCATTTTTTGTGGGCGGGTTTTTTTTGGCGTTTTTTCTTTATTATTAATCAAGTTTTGTGATAAATTTCTATTTTTTTTATATAACAGCTAACTAATATAGAAAGGGACAAATGTCTTAGTTTTGGTTACATTTAAGTTTAATCTTTGAGTTTTCATTCGTTTTATTTCCATGTTGTGTTATTCTAGTTATTTTTTATTGTATTTGAGTTCTTAGGTATTTCTTGTTTGCCCTCTGTCGCCCTCTTGTGTCAGTCTCCTTTTCCCTAGCTCCTTTCTAGACTCCTCTGTTTACACCTGCTCTCAATCTGCTGATTAGCCTGGTCTTTGTATCTCTCTCCCATATATACACCTCCTGCTCAGTCACTGTTGCTGGTTAGTTGTTGTCTCTTTGTCCCCTTGTTGTGATTATTCCTTGTTCTCAGTTTTTGTGGATTTATGTTTATGGATTTTTGCTTCTTAAATCTGCAAGTAACCACCTTTAGCTTCAGTATGCATTCTGTCCTGTCAAACATCCACCCAACTTGACAATAGCTTGATCTGCCTCCTGTTAAAATATATCAATTAATATTTTTTTTTCTGCTTTGCCTTATTTTGCATTTTTTGTGGGCGGGTTTTTTTTGGCGTTTTTTCTTTATTATTAATCAAGTTTTGTGATAAATTTCTATTTTTTTTATATAACAGCTAACTAATATAGAAAGGGACAAATGTCATAGTTTTGGTTACATTTAAGTTTAATCTTTGAGTTTTCATTCGTTTTATTTCCATGTTGTGTTATTCTAGTTATTTTTTATTGTATTTGAGTTCTTAGGTATTTCTTGTTTGCCCTCTGTCGCCCTCTTGTGTCAGTCTCCTTTTCCCTAGCTCCTTTCTAGACTCCTCTGTTTACACCTGCTCTCAATCTGCTGATTAGCCTGGTCTTTGTATCTCTCTCCCATATATACACCTCCTGCTCAGTCACTGTTGCTGGTTAGTTGTTGTCTCTTTGCCCCCTTGTTGTGATTATTCCTTGTTCTCAGTTTTTGTGGATTTATGTTTATGGATTTTTGCTTCTTAAATCTGCAAGTAACCACCTTTAGCTTCAGTATGCATTCTGTCCTGTTAAACATCCACCCAACTTGACAATAGCTTGATCTGCCTCCTGTTAAAATATATCAATTAATAATGATGTATTCTGATTTTTTTTTTTTCTGCTTTGCCTTATTTTACTGTTTATATCTCTACCTTTGTTCTTGGTACTTTTTAGAATAAAAAGAAAAACAATTACAAGAGGCATTGCTGTTATTGTGTCTGAGGCATGCTGAAATCCCTTTCTTCTCTCTCTGCTCTTTGTAAAAATACAAAAAGAGGAAAGGTGACTGATGTAGATAAAAGTTCTGTCTCCTGAGACCCACCTTCAGCAAACGTTTAACTTGCAAAAGAGAACAAGGAAGCATACAAAGCAAAGCAAGAGCTGTTTTTTTAAAGCTGTAACAAGAATATCAGTCAGTCTGTGCAAACTTTACCACAGTTGTTCATAGCTGGTTTGAGCGCAAAACAATCAATGTTTTTCATCCATAATCAAACAAAGAGAAATCCCAACAGACAAAACAAAGTGCAGAAAATTGCTAAAAAAAAATCCTTTCTGCTGTCTGAAAACATTGCTGTCGTTTCAAAACATGAGTTTTACAATATTCTTTGATTAAGACTCAATGTTGTTGTTTTTTTATTAACAATACTGTAATTGTGGTTAACAGTATCACATTTAATGATCAAATTTTGACTTCTAGTTTGAACAGACATCAGCATAAATATCTGGTGTCTATCTTCCTCCCTTGTTTTCTTTTTTGTGTGGTGTTGATCAATGTCTTACCTATGGCAGTGTGTGCGCAAAGGAGTGGACTGGTGGTCAGTGTGGGAGGATGAGGGGCCAGTGCAGCTTTTATATGCTGGCGGCTGGAGTGAGGGGATTATACAGACAGAAGCAAACCCGCTGAGCTCACAGCCGCTATAGAATAGAAATACCCCATCATCAAAGAGAGAAAAACAGGGGATACCAGCTGAAATAAAAGAAGACTAAACCAAAGAAATATGAGCAACAGAGATTCCCTTTTTGTTTCATCAACAGGACTTAATGAAAGAAAAACCACTAAAACAAAAGCTTAATCTTTGACTAAATTTGCATATAAAGTGAGAAACTTACTGTAAAACCACATTATGGTCCATATTGACCATACATATAACTAATACTTATAATCAAAATGAACAAATTCTTTTTCACTAAAAATACAGTTGTGAATAAGTGCAAAAACATATTTTGTCATAATAAGAAACCAGCACTTTTGCTTCTTGCGAAGTTACTGAAGTAGAGACACTTCAGCTACAATGGCAAATACAACCAATAGGATCAAGAGTTCTTTTTGTTCTTTTTATTGTTTTTTTAGGGTTGTTATATATAAAATGTTGCCTTGCAAACCTGATGAATTGTAACAAGATTTTTGAATTGACATATATATGGAAATGAAATACATCTTACCAGTAGCCAATAGATGCATTAGCCTCAATAGGGAAATTTTTTGAACCAATGAAATGCAGCGATGTGTATGACGCCAAAGCATCAACCAGAGGTAGAAGGCTGGGGCAAAACAAACTCAGCTGTACCCGTTTTAGCTGAAATACCCTCTATTTCATATTTAAAGGAATAGTACACCCAAAACATGATTAGCCTTCATTTTCTACTCACCCCCATGCTGAACAACACTTTGGAGTACTTTTTTGATATCTCAAATGCATCTGGAGATCTGGGAGGCTTCTTGCTGTCTGCTGACATTCAAATAATGGAGGTCTATGGTGCCCGAGGCAGAAAGGTCCATAAAAGTCCACAAAAAACGTGCCAATATTCCTCCATACTGCTCGTCCAATGTATTCCAAGTGTCCTGAGTTGGTAGCGTCCATAATTTACTCGAAACAAAGTCATTTAGAATGTTTTTAGAGCATAAACAGTAGTGTATAGGATTTCCTAAAAGCGTGTTCACGAGTCTACGGAAACCGCGGCAGACCAAACCAGACGAAAGTGCGCATTCAGCGTCTGCTCTGCCGATAATGCAAGCGTAGAAGAAGAAATGTGCTGTTTACCTGTGCAAAGAAAGAAACAACGAAAGAAAAATGTCTGAGGACTTCAGTGTTGAGGAAGAGCATGAGTCCTTTGCCGAGCTGAATGCGCACTTTCGTCTGGTTTGGTCTGCTGCGGTTTCCGTAGACTCGTGAACGCGCTTTCAGGAAATCCTATACACTACTGTTTATGCTCTAAAAACATTCTAAATGACTTTGTTTCGAGTAAATTATGGACACTACCCACTCAGGACACTTGGAATACATTGGACGAGCAGTATGGAGGAATATTGACACGTTTTTTGTGGACTTTTATGGACCTTTCTGCCTCGGGCACCATAGACCTCCATTATTTGAATGTCAGCAGACAGCAAGAAGCCTCCCAGATCTCCAGATGCATTTGAGATATCAAAAAAGTACTCCAGAGTGTTGTTCAGCATGGGGGTGAGTAGAAAATGAAGGCTAATCATGTTTTGGGTGTACTATTCCTTTAAAGAACAATCCAAAAGGACTTTTTCTTTGGATGGGAAGATATTTGTGCTTCCGACCAGATTTGCAAAGACTTTGATTTATTCATTAACTCTGCTAGTTGTGAAACAACTCAAGAATGTGATATGTCTGAGCTGCTACTGCTGCTGTGATTGGCTAAAAACTCCACATGGGAGGCAGGTACCCAATCAGCTCGAAGAATCATACTGAATGTCTATCAAGGACATTTTTTCAATTCAAAATGAATTTTCCACATTTTGAATTGAAAAAGCTTTCTGAATGGGATTTAAAACGTCTGTATCTAGTTTTGACTTTGATATACTGTTTTGAGCCATGAAAACACCTTAATCCAAATATTACCACTGCAGCACTGTGGTCGGGTTGTTGTCATGCAGGGAGATGAACATCAATCCCAATCTCTGGCAAACTGGAAAGCATTTTGTACAATTTGCACTTGTATTTATTGACATTCATCTTCCAATTTAACTCTCATTAGTGTTCCCATTACTGCTTAGCAAAAATGTAATCAAACTATGATGAGTTTGCCAACATGTTTTAATCAAATATAGAAATTACAGCTGAAAAAATTAATTGGAATAATTGTGATTAATCAGTTATTAATTGCCAAATAATCAAGTAATTGATTAATCATTAACTGGAGTTCAGAGACTGTAAAATATGCCTTTAGGTTACATTTTGTATTTAAGATTAAAGAAACCTTGTTCGTCTGTCAATATGCTCTATCCAAAACTCTGCAAGTGATCGTTTTAGTTTAAGCTGGTATAATTTCTTAAAAATTCTAAAAAAAAAACTTTTGCCATCCAATTATCAATCAATTAATTAAAAATATAATTGAGAGATTAATCAATTTGCAAAATGATTGTTAGATGCAGCCCTAATAGAAATCTTCTATATTGAGTGATCGATTTATAGAACACAATAATGGCAACACAAAGTGCTTTACATAAAACAAAAACATGAGGCGATGAAAACAGAAGGAAAGATGATTACTTGTTGTGGTT